AACATAGAAAGCACTCCTGGCATTGGTTTTTCAAGTCCTCAGCAGGATATTACTTCTGCTGTGATCATCTACACACGCACACACATGCAAGACATAGGATTCTCCTACTCATGAGCCACAGAGGAATTTTCATTAATAATACCAAATGCCTGACATACAGGTATTCTTCAGAATCACTCTCTTGGCAGCGGACAGGGCAAGCTGAACAAGAGACACAGCAAGAAGCAAATACACTAAGAATCGTTCTCTTTTTTTTTTCTCCTCAATTTCAAGGAAAGTAATTTTAAGTCTTTTACAGGTCTTGTATTAAAATGATATGTATTCTGTGTGCCTGCGTTTCACAGAATCTCATAGGTGTGGGACCTGCTGGTCTCTACAGAGACTGTAACCTTCAGGCAGCAGGTAGACTCTGATCTTCCTTTTGGAAACCAGTTTCTCTGATACCAGCCATTTCAGTAAGTCATAGACAGAAGTACCATTAAATGGGTTTCATGAGTATTATGTTTACTCAGGAAAGATAATCCACGCTTTAAAACATTTTATTATATCAATGTGAAGTATTTGGTTTTGACAGTGTTTGCCATTTGTTGAAGAAATGCTTTTCAAAAGTACTGACATTGTTCTACCTTGACTTTGAGAGGACAGCTCAGTTTAACTGATGCTTTAAGTTGTGCAGTTTGAAACTGAAACATTTTGTTCCTTACCCGCTCAATGCCTTTTTACCGGAATGTACACCTAAAACAGCTTCACCAAGCCTTTATCACATTTTGGAAAGTCAGGGTGATTTCTTAGAGCAGCACAGTCAGTTTCCCGAAATGATCATGACAAACCTGAAGCTAGCATCAGTTCCAGTCAAGGAGAGACTTCTCAGTGAGAGAGTAGATCAACTGACACCAGCCATTTTTGTAATAGTTTCTGTCTATTTCCATGAACTCAGACAACGACTGCCACACAATCTTCTCAGTGCAGCTAATGGAAGTGTGTAACAGATAGGAGGAACAGGAATGTTGACAAGGACAAATGAACTCCGGTTTCCAGATATGAGCCAAGCTTTCAAAGCAGTTAATGCCTTGATTAATAGCTAGCTATAGCTCCTGGAGCTTTCGCAATACCAAATATAAATCTTAACATAGTACCAATAATAGACTGTGTAAATAGGGAAGGAAGAAAGCTGGAATGCTCCACCCTCTCCATTGCAGGCAGGATTATTCTGCCTATTATTAGGAACCTATTCATATTTACCACATCATTTCCTGATCATTTCTTCTCCTAAAATACCGAGTGATTCTGCTGCTTTATTCACCTTGCTTGAATCAATACAATTAGTCCTCATACCCCACGATTACCGCAGCTGGTCTCCATTCAAGTTCATTCAGTAACACCCAATCAATGTTTGTTTTATGTCTCATTGTTCAGAGAACTCCATACACTGAGTATTTTTGTTGACAGACATAAAAGTCCATTAAATAACACTGTATCAGATTCTGTCGACTTACAGCTGACATTTTTTTAAGAACAAGTCATTCAACTATTTGACACTGCTCTTCAACTCAAATATACTTGGAGTTTCTTATTTCTTGCAAAAAACTCCTCAGATGCTATCTTGCTTTTCATAAACAACACATCTAATGAGCTCTGTCTAATTAATTAATTTTGCCTGACTAATGATGCAAGTTTTCTCACAAAAATCGAAATGATTTTGAGTACAAGAGAAAGCAAGTTTTCTTAAACCAAAAAGTTCAAATTAAAAGCTCAAATTAAAATGAATCCAAACAGAACAGAACAGACAGCTGTTCATACGTCAGCCTTAATGTTACCCTGTTGGAGCACCTTATGAGTTAAAAAAAAAATTAAAAATCAGATTTTTAAGAATCTTTTAAACAAGCCAGATAAGAAAGCATTATTTTGTGCAATCAAAACAGCATCACACTACATATTTAATGTTTGGAGCGTGTCTCTAATTTCAATCAAATTTGAATGTTTCAATTTCTCTCAATTTTACCTCTGAATTTTCTGATTCCACACAAAAGTAATGTTTACACTTCTAATTTACTAAGTCCTAACTTCAAATTTCCTGACCTATACTTTCAAATCAAAGCAATTCTACATAATGTTCATGGATACCCTGTTGTTATTAGGCTAGGACTCCACTTCTTCTAACTGAAATTGTAATCCTCCTGGCAAATTAACCTATTACATTACTATTCTACCTACATTCAGAAAGAAGTGTTCCAGAAAAAAATGCTCGTGAATACTACTGCATTTACATTTTTGTAAGTTCTTGGTCACTCTTAAGCAGCATAATATGAAAATTTTCCCGTGAAATATATTCTAGAGCAAAACAAACAGAAAAAAAAACTTTGTAACCTACCTCATATTCCCTGCCATAATGAGGAATAGATTATAAATGTGAGAGAAAATGAAGAGGAAGAGGATGGTACTGAAGAACATTGTCATCCAAGACCCGTGGTCCTCTCGAAACATTTTCAGACGGAGCAACTGACCTGTGGTATGGATATTATGAGAAACCATATTTTAGTCAGTCAGTAAATATGTGTTCAGATGATAACAAAAAAGAAAAACAACAACAACAACAAAACAAAACAAAACAAAATAGTGTACTAAAGTGAATTTCTTGTTACATCCAATAATTCCAGTTTGTGTGGGGAGGACAGGTGACAGGTTTAGCATCAGGCAGCCACATTTGTCTTTTTCAGTTCAGCCATGAACAGAGATTTTTCCTACAAAGCCACAAGATTGTTTCCCACAAACCGATTTGGTGACAAACCAATTTAGATTCTGATTCTAGAGACTAAATCGTTAAACTGGACCTCTAAAGGAGTTCAGTTCACATCATCCCTGCGGTACCTGACTGAAAAGTGGCTGTGGTTTTATATATACCATATGCAATCCTACATGCTGGTTAAGCAGCCTTCATTATTTCCCTGCTCTCGTCATTAACACCCGTACCCAGCCTACTCTCATGCTGGCAGAGCAGGTATGCACAAGTGAACAAGAGTAGTCTAGAAAAAACGATAATTCCATCTTTTTCTTCTAGCTGAATTAGTTCCATCAACCCGCTGACACTGAGACTCATTGAATAGCAGTGCTGTAAATCTGTGCAGAAGTGGGAAGGAGTGATGGTCATGAAGAGCAAATGTGTAAAGTAAGCCATCCCACTTTCTAGAAACTGCTGCATCCCATCTTTCTAAAACAAACACCACAGCCGGGAAGATCTCATGGAATTAGTCTAGAAGTCAATGTAAGAGACATCTTTTGTGGCATTTGCTCAGCGTTCTGAGAAACAAGTCTACAAACTGGGAGGCTTCATAAGAACTTCAGGCTGCGAGATGTTTCTTGAGCAGTAGGAACAGTCAGATTTTGATGGTTGCCTCTCTTGTTCCACTGACTAGGGACAAAGTTGGGTTCAATGTAATGACATGATAGCTAAATCATCATATGTGTTGGTCTAGCTCATGAAAAGCACAGGACATTTGACTCATGAGAAGAAGAAATTTTCTGAGCAGATGACTGCAGGGTCAGTTAAGAATTAAAGAAAATGCCTGGACTAAAGGGATTCTACAGATACCATAAGAAAAGCCATCTCTTGAGTCAAAGACAGCTCTTACTTAAGCCCAAAAGTACACAAAAACATACAGTTAATAAATAAGTAAATCATCAACCCTCCTTGCAATAAAGTTGAGATTATCCTGTGCAAACCTACTGTTCCCCTGTTTTGTGAGTACTGCCACCCATTTAATGGCAGCGCTGAAAAAGTCTGGGTTTCTAGAAGTACATTGAAGGGTTTAGACCTCAATAATACGGCTGTTCAGGTGGAATGACCTCACCAGTGAAACACACTAGGCAACTGCCATCAGATTTAGAATCCAAATTCTACTTTCTCATGATTTTACAAACAAATCTTTTACTATGAGCTCAAGTGGAAGATAGTATTGTCCTCTCTTACACTGTTGATTTTTGCTACATGGTACCACAACAAGGTACCAAAATGATTGTCTGTGAGTGGTAACATAAAAGAACCATATCACAAAACAGAGCAGAGCTTGCAACCATACTTACAGTGTAATTATTATTCATTTCTTAGCCAAAACTGTACACCAAATGTTGTCACTGCAATACAGAGAACAAACTGCTCCCTGGAGTGTTTGAGCTGACTGTCTCTCGTAGTAATGCTCTCGTCATTTCACAAATGTATTATTACAGTTTTGTCAGAGCAAGACTGATTTTCTTGTCCTCTCAATGAAGTCTTACTGCAGTACAGTACTCTTCTTATCCTGCTTTTCGTAGTTTACATTGGTTCCAACTTTTGTTATTTATTTTCAGTAATTAATTACATAAACAGGAGTGTGCAAGTACCTAAATGCAGGTGCTTCAGTCATATGATGTACTTCACTTTTCATTCTGCAACAAATGCATTCTGCAAAGCACACAGGTATGCCTTATTGCTTGAAAAAAAGCTCTGCTTACTCTCATCTCATCACTGGACAGGTGAATCTTTTGTCTTGTTTTCTTCAGGAACATATTTTTCCTGAGTTAAGCTTTCCTTTTCTTTCTTCTCCTCTCATTTTTATTCTCTCAGTCCTCCTTCACTGCCAATTAACGCAGCAGTTTTTCCCTTCTTTAGGTTTCCTGCAGCCCACCTGTGCAAGTAAATTCATTCTACACAGTTTCCAGTCCGTCTACTCCCATTGCACCTTCCCTCTCCTGAGCCTCTCAGTCTCATCCAGCCCATTCCTTTCCTGTACAGGCTCTGCGGTGGGGTGAGAGCTGCCCATTTCTGTAGTGGGGCAGCAATTCTGGCATGGAAGAAGGGGGAGGAAAGTACAAAGGTACACACATGCCCCACACCCCTCCACCCTTTTCTTTCATGCTAGAACCAATGAAAGCCCCAGAAAGACCTAGACTGTGGATTTGTAGTGAGTCTGTTTTTCCCTGAAAAACAAGTGGAGCCTGCTATGTTAAGTAGCAATATAGCCTGACCGAGAGGAGGGGCATCATGATAAAAGTTCTCTCTCTTGCAGTTTGACAAATGCTCTCTGAATAGCTGCCACTGTCTATGGAATATTACCAACACCTTGCATTAAAAGCAGTATTTGCAAAATAGAATTGCAATTCTAGAAGATCAAGATTAATGGAGAAGAAAAGCACAGCATGGAATCTAGACTTCAGTAAAATAGATGACAGCAACATTTCTAAAACAGGTAAGAGAAAAATTGATTAAGTATTCATCCCACCTGTATTCTCCACAGTAACATTTTTTTTTTTGTACTTAGCTACTACATTCTGATTAGTACATACAAACATGTATACATTTCATATTATTTAAAGTATTTTTTAATAACTGTTGTCTTTGGCAGGCAATTTTTTAAACCTTAAATATCCCTTTACCATAGTTCACTTGCTATATGTGCTTTCATTAATTCTAAGTAAATGAACATCATTTCTTAATGAAAGAAATAGTGGCTTAATCACAGTATAGACTGAGCCATTAGGAAGAAAGGAACTGAATGTTATTAGCACAATGTACTAACTGGCAGAAAACTTGCCATTGTCTCATATACATATAAAAAAAAAAGGCATCCCTGAAACTTATTACAGCACACATGCAGATCTACTGGGCATCAGCATAGCTCCAATGGCCTCAGGATACAGCAGGGCACGGTGATGATGTCTTTGCACATACAGTGAAACTGGGTTTTGCTTGTAGAGAATTCCTTACATTCTTCTAATAAAAGACCAGGAGGTCTTACTATAGCACTGAGAGTCAAATTGCTTGTGCCTTTCTCTTGCTTATTACATTATCTTGGAAGACATTCTTTTTTAATTTGGACCTCTTTGACTGTGTCCATCCTGTTTGATAGATTGTAAGTCATTCACACCAATTGCAGTGCACAGTGTTTCAAAAATCCAGTCTTGGTTATGGCCTCTAAGCCCTACTATAATACAATGAATAGATAAGAAACAGTGAGAATATTTTAGAAAATCCAAATATGAACACCAGGGTTCATAGAATTCCAGGAAATCACCTGCAAGGGAATTTCAAAGAGCATGGGAAACACAGAAAAATGCAATCATACTTCCTAATGTGACTTTGATCTCCAAATTCATTTTACCAAGATATGCAGCTCCAGAACCTCCAGATAACTTACTCCGTGTAGGTCAAGTCAGAGCATAGTCTAGTAAACTCAAGGTGATGAAGAGGATAGGGGATTTCTTAGTTCCAATCTGTAACTGCCTTAACAGAAGGGTATACACATAGTCAACTTACAGCAAAATGGATGAGATGGCACAGCTGTCTCTCCAGTTAAGACTGACCTACTCTCCTCAAGCATCTCTGGAAGAGACCTGCCTCTCTCTCTCAAGCTCTTCCAGGAGCTTGATGATATCAGGAATCCCTGGCATTACAGTTGCCTTCTGCAGCTACAGACATGTTTTTTGTAGCCAGTTTAGGGCTTATTTGTGCTACCACCATAATTAGAATCAAGTGCTTAGTGCCTTCATTCATAATTATTTAAAAGGAAGGCAGAGAGGTAGGAAATACAATTTAATTCAAAGTACAAGTGAGATTTAGCCAAGACGATTATAGGAAAATATAACTTTCCTATACATATTAAAACTCCTTTTAACTGAACAAGCTGTAAAGCAAATGTTACTTAATGGTATTGTATAATTAGGGTGGCTACATTTTAAAGAATTTATGTTTTCACCTTATAAACGTTGGTTGAAGAAGAACATTATATAAAATTTGATATCCATAAAGACCATGGAGAAATATAGAGAAAGAATACTGTTACCCCAGGTTAAAATACAGTGCTTCAATACTTAACAATATACATTTAAATAACAAATATTTCCAATCTCTTAAAAACACCAAAAGTTCACCACATGGCTTTCAACGTTTCTGGAAAGCCATTTGACTGCTTTTGTTGCTGAACTTGTACAGAAATAACTTTTCTTCATAATGTTATTCAGTACAGTTTGAACTAACTTTTCCTAAGTACATTATCTGGGTGAGCCATAAATTTGTAAAGCAAAATAATGCAGTTTTTAATTAGCAGCTCATAGCTCTTACTTGTTATGCTCTGAGCTATGTCTGTGGACATACCTTCAGAAAAGCAATATTAAGGAAGGTACGAAAGCAAAAGACCACGTTCCAAAAAAGCACTACTATCAGCCTAACAGTTGAAGAAGTTCAAAAATCATTGAGTAATCAATAACATTATGGAAAAGAGCTCTTCCTTCTATGTAAAGTGAGTAAATGCTGAGTAAAATTTTATCCCGCTTTCCTATCAAGTGCAGTAGTGGATTCCGATTTCTAAATGGCTGTTTTTATGACCCTCATACAAAGTTCTAACGTGGACAGACCTTACAGATTAAAATAGAATCACTGAGTTACAGAATCATTGAATCAGAGAATGGCTTGGGTTCGAATGGGACCTTGAAGACCATCTAGTTCTAACTCCCCTGTTGTCGGTGGGTCTGCGATCCATCAGATCAGGCTGCCCAGGGCTCCATCCAACCTGGTCCTGAATGCCTCCAGGGATGAGGCATCCACAGCCTCTCTGGGCAATCTGTTCTCTTTCATCATTTGGAGAGAGGTTCTAGAAACATGACAATGAATTTGGTGACAGTTCACCCTGGTAAAACACTCCAGGCTTGGTTTTGTGTTGTTTTCATTTTTTTTTTTTAATTAGGAGTTCAAAATCTATGGGACTAAAAATGAGTCTGCAAGCATGAAAACCTTGCTTTGAAAAACACACTGCAGATCTATATTCCAAATTATCCATAACAGGTGCTGATAGATTCTGGGCAATAATGACTGAGACAAAATGAACTCTTTCTATCCCTATCAAAACCACAATGGTTTTGGCCTCAAACATCTGTTTAGAGAAGAATGCCAACAAAAATCATGCACACAATAGCAAACAGGCATTTTGTTCACTGCTTTGGATATAGATGTTGGTGTTGCCTTCAGCACAACCTCATTTTTTTTAATACTTTCTTCTGGACCTCAGCCACAGCCCACTGCACAGCTACCCACATTACAAATGCCTCTAGGCCCAGTACAGGTACCCAAGCCAGTCACTGCAAGGGTGGAGTGAGTGTGGCCATTTATTATCCTTCTGCTTTTCTCTCTGCTTCCTGCAAAGCTAGACACAGATGTATTTGTCAGCAAAGGGAATCTGCTGTTATTAAGGGTGCATGCCTTTTTTCTCTCATGTGTTGTGCACTACACTAAATATTAGGGCATAATACAAGGGTTTTTAAGAAGGTTCATGAAGCTCTGCCTTTGATGGCATTGCTGTATAGTAAGCTTTAAGTGATGTCTATTTGGAATTTGCATTTTTTTCAGATAGAGGAGAACTTGTACATCCCATGTTCTGAATTCTTTCACCGGTTTAAACACGATGGATTTAACTAAAAAGTTTTTAATTGTCAATTCAATATATTTAGATATTATTTTAAATTTGTTGGTCTGTTTTTCCCCTTCAGGCCCATTCCATGGAAAGATGACAAATGATACATGCATTATTTTCATTTGCAACAACCATCCTAAGCTGGAGTGGTACTGCTATTTGCTGATTCTGGTTTGCCTTTTCACTTTGATAGTGGGATTTCTAGGCAACATACTTGCCCTTCGACATTATGTGTACTGCGTGAAGACCTGGAATACTAACAGCATATTTCTATTTAATTTGGCATTGTGTGACCTCACTTGGATTCTTATGGCACCTTTTTCAGTATATCATAGACTCCAGAAGTCAAAAAACTATATCAATCAAACATTTTTTTACATCATAAGACTATTTTTTAGCATTAATATATACGGAAGTGTCTACTTCTTAACACTCATCAGTTTTGATAGATACTTAGGTGCTGTCCATCCTATCTCCTCATTAACATGGTGGAACAAAGGAAAGGCCATGTTTTGTACTGCTGCTGTATGGATCTTCATAGTTCTTGCATCAGTGCCAGAGATCTTCTGCACAATTGAAGCTGGAAGACAGCATCACAACACAAGTTCCCAAGATCACAATGGAGAACCCTTACAATTCGAAGTGCCATTCATACTCTCCAAGATTATATTGAGGTTTCTAATTCCAGTCACAGTCATCTTTACATGCTATATGTTGACTCTCAAAGCACTACTACAACTCTGTAAACGTCAGCAAAGAAGAAATAGAATTATTAGGCCTCTTTTACTGATTTCAGCTGCTATGATTGTATTTGCTGTGTCTTTCACACCATATCACATTACAATGATGGTGATGATAATTTACAAAACCTGTTATCAACCATCCTCTGAGAGCATAAGTAGACTAATGGTAGTTTTTCAAATCACAGAGATCATCTGCAGCATCAACAGTTGCCTTGATCCAATCATTTTTACAGTAGCAAATAAAACATTCTATCAAAAAATAAAAAATATAAAATGTCATCCCAAATGCCAATGCTGCTGCTGTCTAACACACAGGGCAAGGGACATCACTGTATCCCCAAGAACAGTGACTTAAAGGTCAGTTTACAAAGACATGCATCTCTTCCTACCCATTTAGCTTTGTACTGTCGGAACAGTTTAAAATTTCATCTCCTGTATAGTGCATCAATCCCTTGAGTAGGCAAGAATAGACAGCAATGTAGAGTAAAAGTTAACATGTAAATCCACTGGAAAAGAAATGCTATTATATGTACTTTAAATATTATTGTCATAAATATACATTAATCTATTGTGACACAGCACTTCTTCCCCACATGTACATCTGATATGAATGAACAATGAATAAAAGCTCTAAGGATCTGCTTTTGTTCTTGGTCAGAGAAATACAGAAAGTCTATGAGTAAACAGTGTTGAGGAGTCTCCTGATAGTTTCTGTTAATTATTTTTTAATATGTTTGTAAGTAGCATTGGGGCTGCACTGTGCAATTAGTAAGAGCCATGAAGTTAACTGCTGAACTTCCCAAGCGTTTGTAGAGAGGCCTACTACAAGTTCTTAATTGTAATGCTACTTGCACTAAATTTCCTCTGGCAGTGGCAGTGGAACCTCAATAACCTGGATAAATGCAGCAGATTTCCAAAAAAGACCACAAAATATAAATAATAAGGGAAAGCCCCTGAAGACAGCCAGAGCCATAGTGAGTCTGCTTACAAAGCAAACAAGCATAGACTGAAGAGTTTGCTAAAGGTTTTTCCAGTGCAGCAGTGGCTCCAAACCAATAGCACAGGCATACTGATAGTGCCTCAGAAACCTTGGGCAATTACAGCTGTCTCTCCTAAGTGTTCTGCTTCAGAGAATTACATTACTCTACAGTGAACTCTCAATTCACAAACAGGGACAACTGTGCAAAGGAAAACTTCTGAAGCACTGAAGTGGCTGAGCTGAAGGAAGAAACACTGCTACACAACAGTGCTTTTTCCTTGTTAATTTGGGGTCTCAGCATCAATGTCAAGACAGTCTAAAGTACAGCAGACTTTGCTTATTAAAACAGCACAATGTCATACATCATCTTCAAGAATCATTAGACTGGCGTCCTCCCAGCATATATAGACAGTCATCCTTTACATCCAACTATGTGCTTTCTAGCTAAGTCTCACAAAATATCTTGTTAAGGCCATAAATCAGTGGGCAAGACAATTTTATTTTCAGAAGTTACTAGTGACAATGTATTTTTAGGTATACTTTGCATAATGTCCTTTTCATTTTCATAACTTCGGTATGATTTTGTTCTCAAAGATGTATAAAAATATATGTCGACACTGACATTAAATCTCACTTGATGAATTTTTCAACAAATAAATCAAATTCAAAATATAAATGTATGCGTAATATCTAGAACATTGTTTTTTAAATTGTTTGTAACTGTGATGTGAAATGAAGGAACAAGTCTTGATAATCTGAAACATTTTAGATATGTTTATATGTTTATATGTGTATATTTATGAGGATCTCACAGTAAATTGTGCATCTATATTCTATTCTAGAGAGTTACATACTCACCTAATTGTTAAGTGCTGCTCTTAACCCCTTGATGATTTCTTAATCCTTAATTTTCCCATATTTTAAAAGAAAAAATATTCACCTTAGAATCATAGAATCACAAGGTTGGAAAGGACCTACAAGATGATCCAGTCCAACCGTCCTCCCATTACCACTGCTACCACAAGCACTAAACCACATCTCAGCTCCTCTCCCAGGCACCTCTTGAACACAGCCAGGGACGGCGACTCCACCACCTCCCTGGGCAGCCATTCCAGTGCCTGACCACTCTGAGAGAAAAAGATCTCCCTTATGTCTAAACTAAACCTCCTCTGATACAACTTGCGGCCATTTCCCCGGGTCCTGTTTGTTGCCCGGAAGAAGAGGCCAAATCCCTCCTCACCCCAACCTTCAGGAAGTTGTAGAGTGCAATGAGGTCTCCCCTGAGCCTCCTCATCCCCAGACTGAACAATCCCAGCTCCCTCAGCCACTCCTCATAAGACTTGTGCTCCAGACCCCTCACCAGTTTCGTTGCCCTTCTCTGGATACGTTCCAGGACCTCAATGTCTTTTTTGTGGTGAGGGGCCCAAAACTGACACTACTCAAGGTGCAACCTCACCTTTGCTGAGTACAGAAGGATGATGACCTTTCTGCTCCTGCTGGCCACACTATTTCTAATGCAGGCCAGGATGCCATTGGCCCTCTTGGCCACCTGGGCACACTGTCGGCTCATGTTCAGCCGAGCATCAACCAACACCCCCAGGTCCTTTTCCTCTTCACACTCATCCAGCCACTCACCCCCAAGCCTGTAACGCTGCATGGGGTTGTTGTGGCCAAAGTGCAGCACCCGACACTTGGCTTTGTTGAACCTCATCCCATTCACCTCAGCCCAGTGATCCAGCTTATCTAGATGCCTCTGTAGGGCCTCCCTACCCTCAGGAAGATGAACACCACCTCCTAGCTTGGTGTCATCTACAAACTTACTGAGGGTGCACTCAATCCCCTCATCTAGGTCATCAATAAAGATATTAAACAAGATGGGCCCCAGCACTGACCCCTGGGGGACACCACTTTTAACGGATTCCCAGCTGGCTTAACTCCATTCACCACTACCTGCTGGGGACGGCCCTGTAGCCAAAGCCAGTTCCTTACCCAAAGAAGGGGATACCTGTCCAGGCCACGGGCAGCCAGTTTCCCCAGGAGAGACTGTGCCAAAGGCTTTGCTGAAGTCTAGGTAGACTACATCAACAGCCTTCCCCTTGTCTACCAAACTGGTCACCTAGTCATAGAAGGAGATGAGGTTGGTCAAGCACGACCTGCCTTTCATGAACCTGTGCTGGTGGAGCCTGATCCTCTGGACACCATGCTTGTGCCGTGTGATCTCACCCAAGATGGTTTGCTCCATAACTTTCCCTGGTACTGAGGTCAAGCTGAACAGGCCTGTAATTCCCCAGATCTTCCTTACGGCCCTTCTTGTAGATGGGAGTCGTATTGGCAAGCCTCCAATTCTCTGGGACCTCTCCAGATAACCAGGAGCCCTGGTAGATGGCCGAGAGCGGCTCAGCAATCACCCCCACCAGCTCCCTTGGCACCTTCATCTACTTTATTTGTGAGCTCCCTATTGTAAACATGACAGGATTTTTAACAATTAACAATTAAAGAGAATTTGTTAATCTCTAAATGGGTACACACTGGCCACTATCTACTCTTCTATATGCTTACATTTCAGACTGACACAGAAATGATATTAATGCCATTTAGTGATAAAAGCGCTCTCAGCATGAGGAAGGGATGAACAGCAGAGATAAGCCAAGTTTTAAACAGAAAGCAATTTCCAAAATCAAACACTTGTCATTTTATCATTTACTCTCTCTTTAAAGCTACAAAAACACTCTTTTTTTGTCCATTCTCTACTTCAGTATTGATTTTCAACAGGGTTGGGGTTTTTTTTTCTGCAAAATTCAATGGGAAATCAAAATCAAAATAAGTTTTTTTTCTAGACACAAAGTTAAACCTAAAAACTGACTGCTATACTCCCTGCATACTGTCTATAGATGTTAATGTTGATACTACATATCCAGTTAGAAACATTAGAAAGGAGTTCTGTTGTTAATGAGGAAATAAGCATTAAATTCAGAAGAAATTGTGAAAAACATTATCAAAGTTGTTTCTTTGTCTTGAAAAAAAAAGTGTTTTCTTTTAGAACTGCTGCCTTCATAATGATGGATGATGCACCTATGAATACAGTCTGTGGTCACAAGTACCCAAAGTTTGTGAGAATTAAATTAAAAAATACAAATAAAGAGTGGAATAGGTAACTCGTAGCAGGTCAGGCTCAATAATTAGAAAGATTCACAGATAACCCTTCAGCAACTTGTAGGTCTTTTGCAAGCAGCATTAATGTGGATTGCAAAGTCATGGGTTTCTCTGCCTGAGATTCAGTGTGTGATAAGAAAAAGTAAGACTACTAGTGTAGTCTCAGTCTGTTGTAGGAAAGTCAATGTGAGAGTCTGACTTAGAGAAATTTTTCCATAAGACAGAGAAATTTCGTTCTGGCCAGGTAAACAGAACATAAAAACACGTTTAACTAAAGAGGAATGACCTTCATAGTCTCTACGTGGCTGAACTATGCAGTATACAGATAAAAAAAATGCAAAATGAGCTGCTATTTACTTTCTGTCAGCATCACCCTACCAAAGAGCTGCATGGTCTAAGGCACGCGTGACAGAACAAGGCCAGCAATTGCCTTCACAGGCCTGGGAGAGCATCAAAGAGAGCTGTATGTGCTGTGCCCAATGACCAGAAAAGGACAGCAGAAGCAAAGAGGCAGGGAACTGGTTTTCCAGATGTCAATCAAGTCAGAAGACTAAAACTGCCATGAAATAGCACTTATGAAAACGATACTGATTTCTGCTGCATATCCTTTGATCCTCCCTGACTTCCAAGGATATGAGCAAGAGATAAAGGTAGCATGGATGGCAGCCCTGATTTATATGCCATGCTGGGGAAAAACAGGAGAAAGCTGGAGACTCCTCTAGTTCACTTACATAGGACGGACTAAGGCTGTCTACAGTTCTGTGTTCATCTACAGATCAAGGGACAAACTACCGGGACTCTGAAACTCTCATAAAATCCACTTTTCCACGTTACTTCTCTCTGTATTCCACAAACATAAAAATACGGAATAAAGCATATTACAAAAACAAATCCTTATCTCCATGTCTGTTTCTGTAGCCACATGGAATGGCCCACAAGTTCATACAACTCAGTTTTCTACCAGTGAAACCATCAAAAGAAGAGGTCCCAAGGCATTCACAAACAAATGAGAATGCAAGGAAAAAAAAACCAACAAGACACCTTATGTCCCTGAAAAGTTTATTCTCAACAACCCCCCAAAAAAGAAATGAAGACGTTCCTTAAAAAATATAAAAAATAAAAAAAATGTATCCATGTTACAGTGCCTGTGTTGCCTGTTCTCCCAAACTGGCACCTTGCGCAATGTGCCTTGTACTGGGTTGAGTTTAAAGTTAATCTTTAAAGATCTGCTTTAGGACATAATCCTTAGGAAAAATCATTCTCTCTCTCTTACCTTCTGCTCTTCAGATAGCAGTTCCTCAAGCTAATCAGCTATGAGTACTCCCTAGTAGCTGAAAAGGCTTCTAAACATTTATTTTCCTGCTTATAAGAGATGTAATAATCAATTAAACACACTTTTTAAAAGTGTTTTTGTTCAACCAGGCTGAACTAATGCTAATGTTCTCCTGAATGAAACCAAAGGTTTTCTACAAACTAAGACTTAAAAACCACAAGACATCTGTTCATATTTACTTGGTCATATTTTTATTTGGAAATAAATGCTCCTAAAATGTTTCATTATAATATTTTCCTCAGATAATTTGACATACACAAATAAAATCAAATCAGATTATTCCATTTTGCTACAATAAGTGAACAATAAAACAAACAGCTAAGAGCCAAAGTCAACATCTCCTTCTAAGACAAATATGTTGCCACACTGGTTTATCACGGCCTATTGTTTGGGTTAAATCTGAGGACATGGTATCTAATTAAATGCCCGCCTGTTCTAATGAGTTTG